TTTGTTGGGGGGGGGGGGGGGGTGACAAGTACCTAGTGTTTGTAGGTACCTGTTTCCACTTCTGACCAGATCGCCTGGGCGATTCCACTGGAAGTTTGCCCCCCTCCCTCCCTGCCCTCAAACTCTTGGGACATGTCACAGGTCTCCTGAGGCTGCAAAAAAATTGCAACAACTGCCTTTTTATTCTCTAGGGCCTATGCTGAAAAATATGTAATGTTTGGAGGTTCTAAGCAATTTTCTTGCAAAAAAAATACTGATTTTTACTTGTAAACAAAATGTGTCAGAATAGCCCTAGTCCTTAAGTGGATATATATTTGTTTTTAAGTTTAGATACTCTTTACATTTTATCTATTAGTTTGGGCTCCATATATAGTTTTTTTAGTCATGCATTTCATATATTTAAATTGATTTATGGTCTTTCATTATCGTGCTTTGTGATGTGATGCTTTATGACTATAAGACCAAGCACAGTCATCCAGAATACCTTGGATAAAAGTGGTAAAATGCTGCTAGGTTTGTTGTTTTATAACCTTGTTGTACACATGGGCATCATCTGCCAAAGTGATTTATTATTGGAAGACATTCACAAATCTTTGTCATTATTCTGTAAATATGCCAGATGTTGAGATTTGCATCAGTGCAGTTACTGTTCTTACTGTGTTCCGTGGTGCACTGTTAAAAAAAACTGTAATATAGGAGCTGGATTGTACATGCTCAGGTGATTTTAAAGCAGCTTGCAGAGAATAAAAGTGAAATAGTTAAGAATTCTGTCCCATATGTTCCCTGAATTTACATCTCTGCTGGATTTGAGGAGTGTTTTGCTTTGGTAAATTTATCGAGGAATGCTTCAAGATAACATTATGAGAAACACTATAGAGTCTTAGGAAAACTGTGTGGGTTTGTCCAACTGATGCCATGAGCACAGTCCAAAAGCAGTGGTCTCTAGGCCCTTCATATGCTTCTCAACATTTTTTCCCTAAATGTGCTCTAGAAACCAATCAGCTTCCAGGTTTTACTGTTAAAACTTAATTGAACAAGCTAAAGTTAATAGCTGATTGGCCACCATGCACCAGATACTGAGTACACTAGTTTTAGTAAATCTCACCCTGTATATGCTTCCCCAAAGGAGTGGGGACTCATGTAAATGAGAAAATAAGGCAAGAAAAACCCCGGGAATGAAACATTATGCCAACATTCTTTTTGGCCTTGCCTATAAATTGGTTTTAGAGGTTTCTCAGACCCCTAACCAGATCACCATGAGTGTGGGTAAGAAAAGTCAAGTAATAAAAAAACACCACACCAAGAAAAAATACTTACCTTCCATATTTCAGAAATATCAGAATATGGTCTGGACATCTTATTCAGTGACAGAAGGAGGGCGGAGCAGGGACCCCTCTTCCTTACTGCTGAAACTTGGTTTGAGCACTGAGACAGTTTTAAGTTCCCGAGGAACACTGGAACAGGAGTTCAATACGACATCACTGCCCATGTTTTGTCAGAAAGGGATAGAGAATCCAATTTTTTATAGTTGTCGCTGGAACAGAACATAAGAGGAAAATTCCAAAACGGGGAAATGGATGACAACATTTATAAAGGGAATTTTGAGAAATTTCCTCTTTTTTCCAAGTAGGACACATTAAAAAAAAAAAGACAGAGGTTCAACCCCTTATAACCTTTCCTACTCTATCCAAAATAAAAAAAAAAAAAAATAGTTAATCATATAGTCTAAGGGTTGGGGGGAAAGTTAAAGTGATGTAAAACTTTTTTCCATTACTTCCAGCCAGTAACACACCACCTTGTCTTAGGGGGCCTCCACTCTGGATGAAGGTGCAATGGAGATACCTTCGGACAGCAGCATTGTTAGTCTGGGGAAAGGGTAGTGTTAGATGCACTTGCAGATTTAGTTGAACTCCAGCCAATAGTTTTTAGGTAGTTACAGCACTATTTTTTTCCTTTTGGGATAATGTTTTTACATAAATGAATAAAACCTGACCATTGTGTGCATCCCTTGTCAGTGTTAAAGTGGTTGTAAACCCTTACATTTAGCCAGTGAAGTGAATAGCCCCAGGTGACACAGAGATAAAACAAATCCTCCTACATACGTTATACCCATCCATCTGCCGTCTTCTCTTCATCCATTCAAAGTACTGAATTTTTAAAGAGAGAGAGAAAACACCAAGTGCATTATCCAAGGTTTATTGTAGGAGTGAAAGAATAATAAAAACATACTCACAGACGAAGCATGTATCTAAAAAGCATAGAAAAATGACAATGGCCACAATGGCAGGCAAGGTGTTCTCACTGTCAGTGCAGTCAAATGACTGAGTGTTTCGGGGACAAATCTCTTTCCTCAGAGCTGAGACCATCCCACTCACGCGCATCAACAGCAAGGCTCCTACTTTCCATTCATCATACATCTGCATCAGAGGCAGTTGGTCATCAGACCCCTCTGAGGAAAGGGATTCATCTCCGAAACGCGTCAGGGTATTTGACCGCACTGACAGTGAGAACAGTGGGAGGAATACCTTGCCTGCCGTTGTGGCTATTGTCATTTTTCTATGTTTTTTAGATACATGCTTCGTTGGTGTCTATGCCCCATCGTTGGTGTATGTTTTTATTATTCTTTCACTCCTACAATAAACCTTGGATAATGCACTAGGTGTGTGCGCGCCACCTGTTTTCTCTCTATCCAGTGGCTGATTTCCCCGTCTGAGGAGGGCTGCACCCCTGAAGCATTTGCTTTGGTTGTCGCAGTCCTGGTACCCTTGGCTTCCCTTTTGGCTGTGCATATCCTGAGTCGCTGGAGAGTACATACGATATCCGGCTCGACTGAATTTTTAAAGCTTGTCTGAGAGTTAAGAAAAAAAAGGCAGAGAGCTTAAATTACATTCTGCAGAGCTCAGTGAGGATAACTCTGAGAGCTGTTTGGAGGGAAGAAACACACCCTCTTCACACAGCTCACTGGAACAGAGTTGAGGCTGTCAATCTTCTAGAGGTCCCTCTGCTGTCACAAGTTTTCACTTGGTGTCAGGTAAACTTCTCAGAAGTGATTCATGCAAATAGCAGAGGAACAAAGCAGCAGACAGAAATGGCACTTAGTGCTCTTAAATGAGACAAGGTTACACTATAGAGAAATATGCTTTGTTCATATTTCATGTCTGAGGTTTACAACCACTTTAAATGGTTAGTCTCAACCACCTTACTGGCCTAATTCCTTGAATGCTCAGTATGTTAAAGGAAGTTGAATAATATGGTGAAAATAAAGGAAAAAAAGCCCAAAAAAGGAAACTTGTGCAGCCATCACATCTAAGAATTAGCAAAGTGCAATAAAATAATTATTTGTTCTTTGGGTTTGGATATGCTTCAAGCATTTACAGTATGCTGAAAATACTCTCCATTCAATGCTATGAAGAGTTCATACTCTTACAGAGCATGGAGTACAAATATTCCTTAGCAATGAATATGAGTGCAGAGCAATTAAAGGGCTCAGCTCAGAAAAGTTTGACACATTTGTATGTGGCCTCATTGGTGGTATTTCACTGAATCAAGGATAAGTAGGTATGAGAATGACAGGAAGGCATATGGTGGAAAAAGTGAAAAGGAGTAGTTATACTTTACATATTTTATTGTTTAGGGATTCTTTGAAATCTAGAGACAGGAGAGCTTTAGGATTTTATTTTATTCTCAGCTCTGAAAGCCCCGTGCCAAAAGCTACCAGTACCAGATTCAAGCGCTGAAAGCTGACATACTGCTTTTACTAAGATACTTATGTGGCATTATGAATGGACAGTATAAGCAAAACGTTCACTTTAAGCCGTAGTTTGAGATACTTGAGTTTTCTCTTTTTTGTTTGTGCCCTTTCTCCCGTCTTATATACTATTACAAGCAGGTAGTGATTTTGCTGGAACTCTCAATTACTGCAGACTGATTAATGCAGGCAGCTACCTTTTATCATTTAAAGTGAAAAAATCCAATTTGACTCTCATCCATTTTCCACATAAATTCAGGGAAAAATGGCTTTGCAAAATGCATTCCACATTCTTTCAATTGATTGTACAACAGACTCAATTTCACTTAACAAGAAGGAAAACACATTGCATATACATTAAACTGTCTGGCGAGGTCGCATTGTAAAAGTACCTTTCATAGAGAGGAACTAACTCCACAAGCAGGCTGCTTTGTGGACACTGAATGAATCCTTAATTAAGAGCAAAAAGACATACAATAATGGCTGTTTGTGTTTCCAGCAAACATATTGTTGATGATTATCGACCTAAAGCACAGGACACAAGACACGCAGAGCAAAAGCCAGGTCTAGTAATTCAGCCATATGCCGGACTTCTATGGAAACATGGCATAATACACAACATTTTCTAGGCAGCTGAGACATAAACAAAGAAGAACCTTTGCAGACCAGCCACTGCTCATTTCTGCTTTGAAAGGCTATCCCTTACACGAAAATACTGTACTGAAATATAAAAAAAAATCTCAAACTTCAAAATCTCATAGTTCACCAAAATGGAAAATACAGCCACTTGGACATTGCTTCTGTTTTCTACATGTACTGTATCTGTTTTTCATTTTGCCCCATCCACACCTCTCTGTCCCTACATTAAACCTATACCTTCACCCATACTTCCTCCCTGCCCATACTATCTGCTCTCATACCTTCTCCACACTCTTCTCCTAAACATACGACCTGCTATCCTACTATCAGCATTCTTCTCCTCCTCATACTGCAACTGCTGTACACTTTGCACTCCTCTTCTGCACATACCAACTGGTGTCATACCTTTTACACTTTCTCCTGCACAGGGGTGGACTGACCATTTGGAAACTCAGTTACTGCCCGAGGGCTCGGGGTCAGTAGGGGGCCCCATGAGATACCCCTGGTACCTTTTTCATAGGCTTTTGGAGTTTGGGCAAGGACACAGGGGCCCCATGATCCCCTATTGCCCGGGGGCTCCATGAGTTGTCAGTCCGCCCCTGCTCCTGCACATACTGTCCCAATCATACACTCCGCCCTCCTGTTCTGCAAATATCACACTCAGCTTACTGTCCACATTCCTCTCCTGCACATGCTGCACCCATCATACCCTCCAAACTCCTCTTCTGCAGAAACTGAACCTCATCATATGCTCAGCACTCCTCTCCTGCACATACTGTTCCCGTCATACCCTCTACACTCCTCTCCTACATGTGCAATGTCCTATCATACCTTGTGTACTCCGATTTTTCACTTAACAGTTTCTGTCATACCCTCTTCTGTCCTATCCTGCATATGTTGAGGCACCATCATACTCACCAAACTTTAATTTTTTAGCTTCTGCCCATCATCATACTCTCCACAATCTTCTGCTGAAAACACTTCCCACTGTCATACCCTTCCCAATCCTCTCCTGAAGATACTGCTCTTTGTCATACCTCCACAACCCCTCCTGAGTACACTGCCCATTGTCATACCTTCACCGATTCCCTGCTGGACACAGGGCTTATTTTCATACCCTCTCTAATCCTCTGCTGAATACACTTTCCACTGCCATACCCTTCACAATCCTCTCCTGAACACACTGTCAATTGTCACACCTTCCCCAATTTTCTACTGAACACACTGCTTATTGTCATACCCTCTCCAATTCTCTGCTGGACACCCGGCTTAGGGTCATATCCTTCCCAATCCTCTCCTGAACACACTGCCCATTCTCATACCTTCTCCAATTCTCTGCTGGACACCTGCCTTAGGGTCATACCCTTCCCAATCCTCTCTTGAACACACTGATCACGGTCATACCCTCCACAATCCTCTCCTGAAAACACTGTTCATTATCATACCCTCCCCAATCCTCTGCCTGAATACACTGCTCTTTGTCATACCTCCACAACCCCTCCTGAAAACACTGCCCATTGTCATACCTTCACCGATTCCTTGCTGGACACAGGGCTTATTTTCATACCCTCTCTAATCCTCTGCTGAATAAACTTTCCACTGCCATACCCTCCACAATCCTCTTCTGAACACACTGCCCATTCTCATACCCTCCACAATCTTCTCCTGAAAACACTGCCCATTGTCATACCTTTCCAAGTTCTCGGCTGGACACATGACTTATGATCATACCCTCCCCAATCCTCTCCTGTATACACTGCTCTTTTTTATACCCTCCACAATCCTCTCCTGAACACACTGCCCATTCTCATACCCTCCACAATCCTCTAATATAAACACTGCCCATTGTCATACCTTTCCCAGTTCTCGGCTGGACACATGACTTATGGTCATACCCCCCCAATCCTCTCCTGTACACACTGCTTTTTGTCATCCCCTCCACAATCCTCACCTGAAAACACTGCCCATTGTCATTTCCTCCCCAATCCTCTCCTGAACACACTGCTCATTGTCCCACCCTCCACAAATATTTGCTGGACACATGGCTTATAGTCATACTCTCCCCAATCCTGTCCTGAGCATCCTGCTCATTTTCATATCCTCCATAATCCTCTCTTGAAAATACTGCACATTGTCATACACTCAGTTCTCTTCTGGACACACAGCCTATGGTCTGGGCATACCATCCCCAGTCCTCTACTAAACACACTGCTCATTGTCATACCCACTCTAATCCTCTGCTGAACATACCACCCACTGTCACACCCTCCCCAATTCTCTCCTGAACACACTGCCTATTGTCATACCATCCACAATACTCTTCTGAACACACTGCCATTGACCTACCCTCCACAATCTTCTCCTGAAAACACTTCCCATTGTCATATCCTACACAATTCTTTCCTGAAAGCACTGCCCATTACCTTCTCCAATTCTCCTGCCGGGCACATGGCTTATGGCCATATCCTCCACACTCCTTCCTTGAATACAATGATCACTGTCAAATTATCTTTATTGTTCCTCTTTTGCACATACTGACCTCCATCATACTGTTCACATTATTATGTGCCTTTTATATCTGCCTGGAGTTTATATCCTAATTGAAATATTGGCATGGCATTTTCTTAAATCTGTGTGTTTCAGTACTGTGTTGACCTGATGAAAACAGTGCATCTCTTGAAAACTTGTCCTGAAAAATTATCTTTATAAAAATAAATTAAAAAGGCAGTACTCAAAACACAAAAAACTTAAATCTTCTCCATTCTGAGCCTCGGTTTGAACTTCAGCAAGTCACCTTCAACACATCTAAATGCCTAAATGCATCCAGTTTCTGCCATGCGAATGGCTGATTAGCAATTTGTCTTACCAAGCAATTGAACAGGTGTACCTAATAAAGTGGCCAATGAGTATGTCCATGATTATATTTGCAATACAGAAAGTAAATTTACTGTGCCATCAATAAGTCATGGGGCAAGAAGCTTAATGTGACTAGGAGTTGGGAAATAAACCTTGTCCAACAGAAATCATTGCTCCTCCAAGGACAGCCAGAAAAAGATGGTTGCCTGGGCAAAAAGTTGGCTTCGCAAAAAATTGGCAATAAAGACAAACAGGAAAGTAGCATTTATTGAAGTAGGTCAGCAATGGCAGCTCACATATAACTCTTAGTACAGATTTTACTTAAAACCCACTGGAAAAGGGTTCACTTATAGACCTATGATATAAAACCTTCATGAAAATTCATGTCTCCCATTAGAGGGGTTGATTTGCCCTACATTTCCATTTTTCAGGGACCACTAGTGAAGGTCTACCTGTTCACACTTACTGGTCCCAGTCAACAACCTTGAGGATGGTATTACCCAAAAGTCTATTTAAATTACATTGGTTTTGGCTGTATATAAATGTTATATGACTCATATTCTTTGATTTCAAGATAATTTTTATTAATCAGAAATAACTTTAAATAATCATTTGCTGCAACAACAAAAGCATCTGGCAATTAACTCTAGAATAGTTGCTATGGAGGAATATTTTTGCATTAATACCTGTTGCTATGGTGAATTGACCTTTTATTAAATGTTTCAATCAAGACTGATTAATTATTTTCAATAAGTTAGCTGTGTGTTAGAGAGAAAATGTGTAAGAAGCAAAACCCATGGTTTTGTTATGACAAAGCCATGCAATTAAAAAAAAAAGAATATTATTTCAAACAAGATATTGTTGAAATCAATGACAAAGGAACATTTTTACTTTAATTCATTTAAATTTGGAGAATGACAGATAAGCAGAAACAGTAGCTGACCCTCTCATACATTTTTTGCATCTACCTTTCTCCTCCAGGCTATTAAGTTAACTGGATCACAGTTCATGCAAGAATTATGTCAAAGAAAGTCTTTATTGTACCATCAGAAATTGGTCTTTACGCACTTGGAAAAAAGGAAAAATGTTATTTGTGTAGTGCTAATCCCTGAAAGAGCTGCTGGATTGTTTGGATCCTCCTGGCATGGTCCACTAATGACCTGCCCTATACCTGGACCCCGACACACACCTGTAACTTTTAGATGGGAAAGTAAGTGGTGCTCCAAACCAAATATCACAAAAAAAAAACTTAATTGTAAATAAAACACAACAAAGACTAATTTATGACTATTTTATATTAATAACAATAGCAGGGGGTCTCTTTATGGTTTAAAACATTAATAAGTGTACAGAACAAAATTAATTAAATAAATAAATATCTATTAATAGTGTTTACTATTAACTACTAATGAGTGATCAAAACTCAAGCTTTATTTGAAGAAGATAGGAATAATAAAAATATAGTACGAAGTAGTCTCCCATGTAAAAGCGGTGACAAACCACATAAATTACCTTGACAAGGGAGGAAGGGCAGGAAGCTGGATGCTATTGCAAAGTGCAACTGACAGAGGACAACGGCTCCTTTATACCTCCTTGCACAAAGAACAACTGTCAAATCTGCTTGATCGCTATTTCAACAGACACAATTTGTAAAAAGGCCCAATATAACAGCCATAATATTTTTTTTTATACGCATATACGTAAATGTATAGGACTGTTTTTCTGTCATAAAAGGGAATGCTAAAATGTCTTTTCCCCTCTTCAATAAGCTTAATTTAACAGGGCGAAGCCATAGAAAGGAATATGTTTGTAAGGGTAGGTGAGTGGTACTTCCCCTGTGTTCCCCTCCTCGTTGAGCAACAAGTGCAGGTAACATGAGAGGCGTACTCTGGGATGGGTTCTTCTGAGCTACACTAGGCACCTAGTCTGTGGTTACTCGCCAGCACATGGGCTAACTTGACTTGTGCCATGCTCACAAATGCCCAGGCCAAGGCAGAGGTCACATCAACCTTCAGGCAAACCTTCAACTTAGAGATGGCTGTACATCGTGTATACTTGAACAGATAAACTGGACTCCAGTTAACTCTCAGGCCCCGAATCAGTGTACACCTTCACTGTCAGTTATTGCATTTAGGAGGGAAATGCCCCCTCCACCTGTCCAGCGTATCACTGCTAGCTTACTCGCAGTAACATAATTGAATCCTTTTGAGCTCCTAGCATGGGTTCCATGCATGCTCTTTTAACTCCTAAATCTTTTTACCTATGGGAACTCTATGGTGCTGCTCTGCTCCCATTTCTATGGGAGATGGATCGCTCGGGGAGAGTGCTGACAACAGCTCCCTCATTGCTAGAGGACATCTCACCTGTCATAGGTACATACGTCATGACAAACTGCTTGTACTGGCTCTAAACCCCTAGTAACCACTTGCTGTACTCCTTAGCATGTCAACTCTTGAAGAACTGTTTTCATACCCCGATGTGCTTTACTGATCCAGTTTGGAAACCACATGTGTGCACCGGTTACTTACATACACCTCTTTGGAATAATATCACACCTGGAGAAGGCAAAGTTTCAACACTTTACTAGGAAAACTTGAAAATTGCAGATGACAGAGACATGGTTTTTCCCTAACCTAGTCCCTAACTACAGCTGCTGCCCCAGCATACCTGCACAGGTGAAAGTCCATACTTGGCATAGTCCATAATGGCAGTACTTCAGCAGCTGGTATCTTCAGGGCAGACTGCAAGTCCCAGCAGTACTCCCTACATTGTGGATGGTGTCCAGAGGTGATGAGTAGCTGGACACAGATACAGATCTTTGCTGCTTCCCCAAAAGGCTCTCTGACAGTTCCACCATGCTCATGCTGTAACCC